GCTCAGCCCGCCTGGCAGCGCCCACCCCAGGGACCCCCTTGGCGAGCCTCCCCCGCCTCCCATAGATCCTGGATTTCCTTCCTTATCCCTGGAGACCCTAGAGCCCAGATTTCACAGCCCAACCCCAGAGATTCAGGCGTGCCCCTCCCGGTGCCCAGAGTCCCCAACCGAACCCTAGAATCCCAGGCGAACTGCTGCCTTGCGCCTCCTCCAGGGCCCAGGAGCCTAGGTTTCCCATTTCAGCCCTGGGGACCTCCTCTGAACCTAGATCCCCCTCCTCGGCCCAGTCTCGGGAGCTCCAGACACCCGCTGCTGCTGTGTCAGACTCCCCCAACCCCCGCCCGCAACCCCCCCCTCCGCCCCACATCATCGTCCCCCCATTCGCGCACCGGGTCTGCCGGTCTCCAGCCTCCGGCTTGAGGAACCGGCCGCGTCCCTGGGTCCAGGCCGGCTCGGCGATGGCCCTGGACACAGGCCCGCGCTGGAGCTGTCCATGGTCAGAGCGCTCAGCAGCCTCGCCTCCCCCACCTCATGCAGCCGCCGCCAGAGAGGGGGCGCAGATCGGCGCGGGGGTCCCCCCCGCCGCGTCTTTGACCCGGGGATACCCGGGCCCTCCCCGACTCGGGCGTCTAGGCCTCAGGGTTCCGCTGATCAGCTTCTCGGCCCTGTCCTCAGCACCCCAGGTTTCTGAGGTTCCAGCTGCTCCCTGAGGAGCCAGGGTTTCTGAATGTTCCTGCCTGTCCACCTTAGGGACCTTGGCGCCCAGGCGTCCAGCTCCCAGCGGTTCTAGAAGCCCGTGAGAGCTCACTCAGTCTGCTGGACCCAGCTGACAGCCCTCGCCTGCTCAGGACATAGGCATCCAATTTTCCAGCCTTGGCCCCTTTTAGAGCTCAGTTCAACAGCCCCTGTACCCATCAGACAAATAGGCTGCCTCCAGGCACCCCGGCCTCTCTCCCTTAGGGACTCAGGCGCCATGACTTTTCCTTTCAGGGACCCAGAATGCCATTCTTAGTGCAATTCTTTGGCTTCTGTGTACCCTCCCCTTTAGAGACCTAGATGTCTTGTCCCTGGTCCTGTACCCCCTCAGTGACCTGGGCTCAGACCTCAGCTTCTGCACTTGCCAGCAGCCCTTACCCAGATTGCCAGCCCCAGCCCTCTCTCCCAGGAAGGACTCTAATTTCTGGCTTCTTCTGGCTTTCTGTCCTTTACTTCCACGAGGATTTAAAAGTCCAGCCCCCTGATCCCACATATAACTCCTCAGCTCCCACTTTTATGGACCCAGGTCTTCATGGTCTCATGACTCTCTTATCAATGTCATAGCTCCTGTAGCCTTGACAAAGCCCTGTCTCATCCCATATCACCTCAGGTGGTGGGCTTCAGGACTCCTCTGTTCTCTCTCTTAAGATCCAGATTCTTGAGATGTTTCCAGCACTCACTGCCATGGTCCCGAGGCCATGTCTTAACATCTCATTCTCTCTGTGCAGTCTCTCAGGCCACAGAGTCTTGTATGCATCCTTCCTCCAGGTGCGTTCTGTGGTGGAGGCTCCTCGGGTGATCTAGAACCTACACAGTCTTCCATATTTCTCATTATACAAGGGTCCTGGCATCGCTCCATGTTCTAGATTCCTTATAAATATGAGAACACTCCGAGTTGACATCTCTGTTCCATTTTCAATCAAGTTATGGTCTAAGTTCTAGACCAGGTGCTAGATTCCAGGCATGTCTGTCCTGTTTGTCTTGTCAAATACCTGGAGGACATCTCCACACCAAATTCTGATCTTTTTTCTCAGACATATTCCAAAACTCTAGCAATCAGTTTTTTACTAATCCTCTGCTAACTCTTTGTTGTCAGTATGTTCTAGATCTCAGGCCTACCCCTTTGGCCTTGTTCTAGATTTTGTCATCTTCCGAAGGGTATTTGAAGTTCTAGAGTCATGTGTGTTCCAATGACATGTTCTAGCCTTTCTGTAATGTGTGCTTTCAGCTGTAGAACATACTTCCCTGGTTTATATTCTGTCTACTTTCACAGTCTTAAATCTAGAAGATTCCTAATAAAGTATTGTACATTACATTTTCCTCCCTTAGGTTCCAGGCCTGTTTATTTCTGCCTTCTCTGTCCACCTTTTCCCTAGAATGGCCTTAGTTTAAAACTTGCCCCCTGGTGGATTGTGGGCTTCTTGCTCCATCTGCCGACTTGGCATTCTGAGCATGTTCTAGGTTCTCCCCTCTTCTGGAGTCTTCAGCTTAGGAATGCTCTCATTTTCCAAAACAACCTCCCTCCCTTTGCCAGCTCAGTCTTTATTTCAGGAAATTCTCAACTTACAGCACACATCCTTCTACATTTTCTCCCAGACACTTGTAAGTTCCAGGCAAACTCCTTGCTACTTTCCAGGTTTTGCTTTGCCCTGGGGCATATTCTAAATTCTGGAGCTCATCTTTTGGCTCCTGAGTTCTAGCATTCTCTAGACACGAGAGAAAACTAAAAATGTGACCCCTGTAAATTCTGAGTTATACCTTCAACTCTAGTAGTGTCTGAGTTCTAGAAGAGATCTCCTGACTAGGATTGTTATCTATTGCACGAGGTACATTCCTGGGTATCGTTGGGCTCCCTCTGTGTTTGGAGCTCTAGGATGACCCAGGCAGTCTTTAAGTTATTGGGTTGCTCTTGGCCTGTTCTAAGCTGTAGGTTCCAGACCTTGATCCTGGAATATGCCCTGAAGTTAGCCCCGTGTGAGGATCTTACCCAGAGCCCATTTGAAGCACATCAAAAGCTTATGTCCTTTCTGGACTCTACTGTTTCCAAGTCAGCGGCTTGCTCGATTCTAAGCTAGTCTTGCTGTTTTGTTTCCTTCTCAGTGAATTTGAGGTTCTAGAGCAGCCTCCGTGAACCGTCCTGTGTTGCATTTTCTGAGTAGGCTGTGGGTTTTAGAAATTGAGTTGGTGTTTGGCCTCAGGCTGGCCGGTCCTCCCATAAACATTTTCCTGAAGCTGGTCTCTGCCTGCAGGGATTCAGGTGTCTAGATTATTACATGCACCGCCAAAGCCCCAAGGGTGCAGGCACCCAACTGTCTCCTCTCCCAGGTCCCGGGGCCCTCGGCTCCCTCCTCTCCTCACGGGAGTGCAAGGCCCCAAGTCCCAGGCTTTGGACACAGTCCGCATACTGGGCGGGGCTGGGAATTATCCATTCTCAGAACCGGTTATGCCGCTGCCTGCAGGGGCAGAAAGAGAGGAAGGAACTGAGTGAAAGTCCCTCCTGCTTTCGGCCGGGCCAGCCGGACCCGTCGGACCTGAAGTGTGTCCAGGGAGCGGCTGGGGACCTCGCTTCCTCTCCGCCCCGCCCCTGGCTCCAGCGACCCAAGTCCCGCCTTCCCGCCCCAGAAACCCCGCCCCTTCCTCCTTCGCCACCCAGGGTGCCTTCGCCGCGAGCGCTGGGCTGGGGCTGGGCCGAGAGCGGGGGTGGGTCCTGGAGGAGAGCCGTGCACCTGGGCTCCTAGGGCCTGGCTGGGGGAGGAGGGCCTGAAGGCTGGGATTTCTGGGTCTAGGGAATGA